AGCCTGGGCAGCCCTATGGGGCAGGTCTACGCTGGCCTATGAGGAACCGGTGATAAGGGGTAAAGGGTTACGTTTTTGTGCACAAAGATGACTGCGGTTTAAAGCTAGAATTTTTTTTTAAGCGCGGGGTGGGAGGCTGGGGGAGGGGTGCTCAGTAGCTTCGCAATCCCGGCCTACGCAGGCCGTTAAAATAGCAAGAAAAACTCCAAGTGTAGGGCTCTGGTGGTTCCCTAAATCTGGGATCGAAGAGTCATTTTAAACATTTGTCTTAAGAAAAATAAATACGTTTAATCGGTCCAGCAGCCCTGAAGATCGCCTCCATTAGATAACGGAGACGCTCGCTTGCACGCCGTGATCCCGCGCGTCAGGGTGCCACCTCGTCCGAATGGAAGCCTGCTCTGGGCCTGTCGCACCCACTCGCGGTGACCGCGCGCTCGCCGGCCCCGGGGTGGACAGGTTGTGCCTGGCCCGGTGCAAACCCCCAGCACAGCGCTGGGGAAACCGCGGGAACGACACGTGCAAACAGTCGGGGTTGGAGCATCATGCTCGCTGGCCTTTGAAACGTGCCGTGAACATTTTGTAAAACAAGGCATGCAGATGCAGAAGATTAAGCCGGCCTGAAGTATATACCCAATAAATGCACACTTTGATGGGCGAATAAAGCAAAAAAGAAGGATCTCGCTACATGGGGGACATTTTTTATACGAATGTTAGCGTTATTTACATTTTATACCGTGTTCAGGGTGCCCCTTCAGCCTCTTTCGGAGGTAAATCTTTTTCACCAGCCTGCGTGGTCGTGGTCGTTGAGTGAGAATCAGCTCGAAGGCAGTGAGTTCTTGAAGTCTGTGGGGCCTGTACTCTCCACCCAAAAGATGATGGGGAGATGCAGTATCTTAAATGCAGATGGCAGCGAGTGTACAGTCTTAATACATGTGAGCAAATATAGCAGGTTCTCAAATCTTCAAGGGGATATAAAAAGTCAAATTCACTTTCACACACTTTTGGAAGTGTGGTGGGTGGATTTAGAAAGAAATAAACATACCATTGAAGAGTGAAAAATAAAGGGGGAAAGTGTGTCATAACCGAACAGGGGTGTGGTCGGGGCACAAAACAGACCATCAGCTCTGGAAAGGTCGGATCCATCTTTCTGATCCGGCCAGATAAACTACCCTCCCTCTGCAGACTGAAGAGGCCAGCCCGGGTCGGTGGGCTGGGACATTTGCACTCTGCCTCAGTGGAATTCCGGGGTAACCATATACCAGCACCTCCTGTAACCCTAGAGCACTTACATGGATGGACTAAGTGGTGTGATGGAGGGGAAGATAGGTTGACAAGGATTCGTTTGATTATACCAGTAACCCACACCACGTCCAATAAAATCGCCAAACACTGTGTGGGGGATTCTTCCCACCCACCCCGACTTTTAATAAAGAAATGCGGTCTCCAGTGAGTTCGTTCAGTCCAGCAGGCCCTCCCAAACGTTCCCTCCTCGAGTCTCCCCGTCCAAACTGCTTGAATGACACGGAATCCCGGTTTGAGCCCAGGAAGGCCAGACGGGGCTTTGTCTTTAAATGCCAAGTCCCAGACACGCCATGAAACTCGATCAAACGCAGAAAAAGGCTGAAACCCAACGCTGTCTGGGTGACCCCGGGCCTCAGGGGCTCAGCCAGCCGACGTTGGGGCCCCCGAGCCCTGAGAAGGGCCGTCTGAACCCGGGTTCGTGGGATCCCATGACTTTGTGGTCGGGGAAGCCGGGCCTTTATGGGGATCTCCAGGGCAGCCCAACCCTCTCCCGTGGAGGGGGGTCCCACGCTTGGCTGCCTTCGCCCCTCTGCACTCGCAGAGACCCCATTTTCCGGGGGACAGGGCCTGACCCCGTCGCCCCACCTTAGAAGGTGCATTAAAAGCCTGGGTCCTCTTAGCGGCCCGTTTTGGGGGTGAGCGCGGGGCAGGAAGGGGGGGGGAGGCGTGCGGGTGTCTCTGTTGCTCGAGGAGTTGGATACCCTGGCGGGGAAGCCAGGCCTTTCCAGCTCGGGCGGCCGCTCGGGCGTGGGGCGGACTGGGTTTCGACCATGCACTCATCCACCATAGAGCTCTGCTTTCGCGTAGCAGCTGCTGCCTATGCCTCTGCCTCTCCCGCCTCAGCCTCTTTGCCCGGCATCCACACACATTCAGATTTGCGCGCTGTTTCAATCCTCGATGACGTGTCCCCGGAGACGGCCAATAGCAGACGGGCTCTGGTCAGGACAATGGGAGGGATCGGACCAATGAGCGAGCCCGGTGAGTTGGCGGTAGCCAATAGGCGCGGCGCTGGCTGGAGAGTAATGTTACAGAGCGGAGAGAGTGAGGAGGCTGCGTCTGGCTCCCGCTCTCACAGCCATTGCAGTACA